CAAAGTCGTTGCCCATAGAAGAGAGCGGCAGTAGTATAGGAAGACTAAGCAGCCCCGTTTACGGAAAACACTGTTTACCCCTGCGAGGGAAAATAGGCCAGAAAGGACGTCCAGACAAATGCTGGGATCCCGCCCTTTGCTCGCAGATCCTGGCTAGCAGATGCAAAACACACAATCGAAACAACCAAACAAGAGACCATACTCTCTCTTCCCCTTCCTGCTCCCCACCGCCCTACCTCACCGGTTGGAGTGAGTCCGCTCTCTCTGGCCGCCTGGAATGTTCGTTACCTTTTAGATAATCTCAGGAGCAACCGACCGGAGTGGAGGACGACGCTAGTCGCTCTGGAACTGGGGTGATATCAGGTGGACATCGGCGCACTCAGCGAGACCTGTTTTTTTTCGAAGAAGGCCAACTGGAGGATGTGGGTGCCGGCTACACCTTCTTCTGGAGCGACGGCACGAGGATGTCGCCTATGCCATCCGGAACGGTATCGTAGGACCGCTGCCCTCTCTGTCGCAGGACGTCAACGATCGCCGAAGAGCCTCCGCCTGCCTATCTGGGGAGGCAAATTCGCCACCACTGTCAGTGTCCACGCCCCTCCCTCGATGATCGGACCTTACTTAGCAATTGACAAATTCCAAGAGGACCTGCACGCCCTCCTGACGACTGTGACGAAGGTAGATATGTTGGCTGTCCTCGGTGACTTCAACGCTGGTGTCGGCACAAATCATGCTGCCTGAGCAGGGGCGTTAGGTCCCCATTGTTTCGACAGCCCCAATGACAATGGCATGTTCCTCCTGTGGACTTGTCTAGAACACAGTCTCATCCTGACTAACACCTTAATTCGCCTAATAATGCTGGAGAGGGCGATCTGGGTTCGCCGTCGGCTTCAGCACAGGTACCTGCTGGACTATCTCCTCGTCCGGAGACGAGACCAGCGGGGAGTGCTGGTGACAAAGGCAACCCTGGGTGACGACGGGTGTACTAGCCATCGCCTTGTCATTTCTAATATGAGGCTGTGCGTAGAGCCGCACAGGGGACCTCAAGGTAAGCGACCACCAGGTAAGTTGAATACTGTTCTGTTGAATGTGTCTGCTCAACATCTCCACTCAAGCAAAGAGCTTGCTCAGTTACCAGCCAGTCTTCTAGTCGCCGCCGCCGTAAAGAACCGATGGTGTCAACCAAAGCAAATGGTCTAATCAATCGTCCTGGTTGTTCTCAGTAGCGCACCCCGTCAACATATGTCCTGGTTCGAGGGCAGTAATGCCGCCATTAGGGAGCTGCTCTTTGAGAATAACCGGTCTCACAGAGCTTATATCAACCGCCTTACCAAAGCAACCAAAGCAGCTTCCTATCAAAGTCACCGTCTTGTGCAAGGGCAACTGTGGGAGATACAGGACCTCGAGACGGCTTGCAATGCCGAGGGGATCCAAGGGTACGCGAACCGCAAGGAATGGAAGAAATTTTTGCTGCGAGCAAGGATGTCTACGGTACCATAGACAAAGAAGCCGTTCCAACGACGGCACCCTTCTCACTGAGAAGACACAAATTCTACAGCGATAGGCCGAGCACTTCCGAGACGTCCTCAATCGCCTGTCCACCATCTCCGACGCTGCCATTGCCCATCTGTCTTAAGCGGAAACCAACGCTGCCCTCGACCTCTAACCCTCCCTCCACGAAACCATCAGGGCCATGCAAAACCACTTCAGCGGGAAAGCGCCCGGATCGGACGCGATCCCTGCGGAGATCAACAGGCAGGGTGGCCCCCAACTTATGGATCATCTGATGGCGCTCTCCCAGGAGAGGTGGTGTCAAGTACTAGTCCCGTAGGATTTCAAGGACGCCACAATCGTCCATCTCTATAAGCAGAAAGGTAATCGCCATTTCTGCAACAGCCACCGAGGCATTTCCCCGCTGAACATGGTTGGGAAGATCTTCGCTCGCATCCCTCCCAAGTGTCTGAGCAACCGTCTGGGACAGGATCTTCTGCTGGAAAGTCAGTGCGGATTCCAACGTCATCGTGGAACCACCGACATGATCCTCGTCGCCCGCCAACTGCCGAAGATGCGTCAGGAGATGCGGACCCATCTCTACTCTACCTTCGTGGATTTGACGAAAGCCTTCGACACGGTGAGAGAGAGAGAGAGGACTGCTTTATTTTGAAAATAACTTTCAAAACTTTCAGCAAAAACGGTTCTCCAGTACACAGTGATTACCATAGAGATTAACAGGTTTTTGGACAGACAGGTGGGCATGATTATATATGAAGAAAAAAGGACTTTAAGGTGCAAGATCGAGTTTTAGTTTTTGTTTTTCAACATCTTTGCAGGTGAGATACCGGGCTAGAAATGGCAGTATGGAATTCCGATAGGCCGAAGTGCGGCAAGGGATGTGGCGGAAGCATCGACGCGTGGGGCGTAAGGATTTCGCAGCCATTAACTCATTATGAAGGGGATGGACGGTGTCATACAGAATTCGGTCAGCGAATTGCTCCACCGAGTTGAAATGTCGCTGCAAGATGACATCAAATAAAAGATGATAGGAAACACCAGCAGCAGAGGCGAGCATTCGAATGACACGTTTAAAAATAATTAGATCTTTTTGAAGTAAAGCTGGAAAAATAACTGGAGAACAATAAAGAATGAGTGGAAGAATACAGCCATCTATGAATCGCCAGATTAAGGACTGGGGTGTGTGATATGAACGTAGACGACGAATATAATAAACGAGTTTTTTAATTTTTGTTAAAAGGGTTTCCATATGAAGAGAGAAAGAGAGATTTGAGGATAAAGTAACACCTAGGTACCGGAAAGAAGATACCTCATTGGGAAGAATATCCAAAGGTTCAGGAATGGGGGAGGGTCGCAATCGAAATACACACTGTACTGATTTCTGATTGTTGAGTAGGAGTCCATTATTCGAAGACCATGCGGAGACGTGATCTAAGCCATCCTTTAAAGGACTGTGGAAAATCATGCGGAAATTCGGCCATTCCGAACGATTCACTCAGATGGTGCGTCAGCTCCACGAAAGCATGATAGCGCAAGTCACGGACAATAGGGCTGACTCTGAGGCATTCTCAGCGACCAACGGAGTGAGGTAGATCTGCGTCTTTGCGCCTACCCTCTTCGGTCTCATGTTTTCTGCCATGCCGATGGACGCCGACCGTGACGAACGTCCCGGATCCGCATCTTCAACAGGACAGACGGCCAGCTCTTCAACCAACGGTGAATGTACTTCCAGTCGCGTGTATTCACAATTATCGTCCATGAACTTGTCTTCGCCGACGACTACGCCCTCAACGCCACCTCGGATTGGACATGCAAAGGAGCATGGACCTCATCGCCGCCGCTCGTGACAACTTCGGCCTGGTCATCAGCACGGAGAAGATGGTGATAATGCATCAACTACCACTGGACGCTGCCTAAGTTACACTCCAAATCAACGTGAACGGCGCCCAAATTCAAACCGTGGACAATTTCACCTACCTGGGCAACACCCTATCTCGCAGTACCAAAATCGACAAGAAAGTGGCCCGCAGCATTTCCAGGACCGGCCAAGCCCTCGATCTCCTGCAAAATACAGTCTGCAATCGCCACGGTCTCAACAAGGTGAACAAGGCAGTCATCTTGCCGACGATGCTGTACGGAACGGAGACCCATGTGGTCTACGAGAAGCAGGCGCGGAGGCTCAACCACTTCCACCTCAGCTGTCTTCGACGGATACTACAACTGAGGTGGCAGGACCGGATTCCCGATACGGATGAACTGGAGCGGACGGGAATCCTCAGCATTTACGCCATGCTGAGACAACAGCAAATGCGCTGAAGCTGCCTTCTGGTGCGCATAGACGACGAGCGGTTTCCCGAACGACCTTTCTAAGGAGATGTCGCGAAAAGTTCTTGCCGACAAGGACGTCAAGTCTGGCATTACATGGATACCCTGAAGACTTTCCTGTGGCTCTTGTCAACTAATCTGACCAACTGAGAAGACCTTGCTTGAGACCGACTGACCCGGAGGAGGACAGTGAAAGCCGGCGCAACAATCTTCGAGGCCAACCTCATCATCGTCACCAAAGCCAATCTCGAAGCTCAAAAATCCCAACTGCCTCCGCCTCGCAACTCCATCAGTCAGTCTCCCCCGACCTGCCCACGATGCCAGCGGACGTTCCGGGCACCAAATGGTCCCCCTGGACACCTTCGTACCAACTGCAGCATCAGCCGCTGACCCCCGTCCACTTCGACCCGCACCCCACGGCGATAATCAACACTGATCCCAGTCCTGAATCCCCCACTGCCGTCCTCCTTCACCTCCTCAACATCCGCTGCGAAGGTTCCTGCAACCGCCGCAACTGCACTCAATCCTAATAAACCGACAAACGCCAAACTCTCTCCCGCCGAAACCAGTGATGTGGACTCAGTCAATACCTGTCCTCATTGCGATTGCACCTTCATCTCCCATATCGGTCTCGTCTGTCACTGGCGAACCCATCGCACAGGGACTGGCGAACCGGTTCCTGGAGCACCCACATATACTCGCTGCATCCGCCTCCATCGTCCACACAGTCCCAACACAACCACTCACCACACGGGCCTTCTAGGTCACATGCGTGTCTACGAGTGCGGAAATCATCGCAGCCTCGGAAACCTAGCGCATACTGCAAACTCACCATGCCTAGTCTAACCCACTCCCCGTTCCCTATCCTCACTGAAACCGACATTGACAGCGGGGAATTTTCCTGCCAACACTGTCCCCGTACATTCACCTCACGCATCGGCCTGGTCGGTCACTTGCGAATCCATCGCACAGAGTCTGGCGAGTCAGTGCATGCAACACCAACATACACCAGCGCATCCACCCCAATTGCCCTCATTTCACCCGCACATTCACTTACAACATTGGTCTATTAGTTCTCATGCGCATTCACGCAAGCCCGCGGTAGAAAACCGCCGGCTACATCACATCATCACATCTTCCCCACCTGCATTACGCAACATGATCACCCATCACAAGCAACTGACTGCCACTTCCCACGGCTCCGACTCCAGGCGGCTCCTCTGCCACATGTGTGATGCGAGTCTAAGCCTGTCTGACTTGGAAGGCTGCTGACTGACGCCCCAACTCAGCCCAAGCAGTCTGTCCGGTTGTGTGTGTGTGTGTGTGTGTGTGTGTGTGTGTGTGTGTGTGCCCTCAGAACGGGCCACGTGGTAGATGCGCTGGACCAACACGGGGGCCACATCGGTCTCTGGCAGGCGTTATCTGTGCGCAATAACAAATGCCAACATTCCCGGGGTGCGCTGGCGGACCCTGTTGTCGGCATTCGTCGCACAACTGGACCACTGCCACCATCCCATTGTTTTGTGGTCAAAATCCTGGTCATTTGTGTGTAGACCAGGGGGTGCGGAGTGGAGCGCCAAGGCGAGGATCCGTCCGAGTCATCCACCTGCGGCCTCCCTCGTCTCCGGTCTTCTTGACTTGGTCTTGACACCCGGCTAAGGCGGAGGAGGTGGAGAGAGTGTAGGTAGATGCTACGCAAGTCTACTGGCACTATAAACCCCTGCGTAAGTCACCGTCCCTGCCCCACAATGCAGTCTGTGGGGCACACGGTGGCCATCATCGAAATCGATGGTCGAACTGTCGTGTGTGTTTGGAGTGGCGGACTGGTTGGCTGAGAGCTAGGTTTAAAGGGCCCCTTCTTAACGTGACCTACGGCACCTTCACGCATGTGAGATGTACGTCCTCCAACCCCCGTTAGGTGAAATC